CGGTGGGAGGACAGGGCTGACAAGGAGAAGGGCCGCCTCAGGACTGCCAGCGACATGGCGGTGAGGGCGCGGCTGAGGCGCCGGGGCGGGCTGCTCTCTCTCCCCGACGGGCACTTGGGCTTGCGCCTTAGGCCGAAGCCCTCTGACGCCTTCCAGGCGGTTGGCGCGGTTCTGGCGCGACAGCGGGCGACCTGGGGGCCGGGGCGAGGGGCCGCTCGCGGCAGGGAAAAGGCGACGCTCGGGGAAGGCGGAGGGCGGGGCGGGGCGAGGGCGGCAAACGCGCGCGACGGCAATTGCAAGCGGCGCAAAGATGAGCAACTAAATGTGGCGTTCCTCACTGCTGGACTCCTGGCTCAAGCTCAAAGCTATTCTCATGCGTCGGCTCAACTGTCAGTCGTTGTCGACCCCTCTCGCGCACCCAAACTTCCCCCCCGCAGTTGCGTCTCTCGCAATTCCCCCGCAATCGCCATCTTCGCGTTCTGCGCAGCTCGCTGGCTCGAGGCCCCAGCGGCGTCGCCGCGGGCTGCCCTGCGGATGGCGGACGTCGGCGAGGGCGCCGTCGGACTCTTCGCGGCTTCACTGGCGGCCGAGGCGGGCGAGTGCAATGGCGCTCTCCGTCGCCGCGCGGCTAACGGCGCCAGCGACGTCGTCGAGCAGACGTGCAAGTTGCGCCCATTTCGATCCTGCCAGCGCAGGGCGCAGCTGGCTAAGCACATGAAGTACCACGCGGCCCCCTTCTTCACGGCGCTGGCGCGGTGCCTCCGCGCCCAGACTTGCCCGCGGCTCAACGTCGCAAAGGCTTTGCGCCGCCGTCGTCTGGCCCAGAGCACATGCGGGCCAAGCAGCGGCTCCGATGATCTCCTCGAGAAGAGCGCTTCCATGATTCGGGGGTCGAACCGAGGTGCCCCGCTCGCCGAGCTGGGGGTGCTGGAACGTTCCCGCCAGGTCCCCGTCGTCATGGTCCTAGCACGCTCTGGTCCCGAGTACTGTCTGAACTGCAGGGCGGCCGACGCAATCCGCGCGAACGGGAAGGTCTACTACTCCCGCGACTTCGAAGCTTCCGTCGTACGCCCGGCGCTCCGATGCAGGGCCACGTCGGTGCCATGGTGGGCGAAATGTTAGCCGGGTGGGCCGTGGGCGCAGAGGGCGCGCTCTCCCGCGATGCAGGCGACGTTGAAGGAGTGCGGATTGCTGCGTTCATGAACCCTGACGGCGTCGTCCAGCGCGCGCTCCGACGCTAGAAAGCTGCCGCGACAGAGCGGGGCGAATGGGTGGCGATAGCGCGCGACGCTACGTTCAAGATAACTTTCTCCATCGTCGGCCAGGCGCGCGTGGCCCGGCGCGACGGCGAGCGCCGCGCTGCCCGCGCGTTCACCGGAATCGCGGGCGCTTGCCCAGGCTTCGGCCTCCAGCCGAAGGAGGGGGTCGAGCCTTTCGCAGCGGCCCTCCGCGACCGCTTCGCGGACGAGATGATCGCCCAAGGTGCGTTTCCTGTTCAGCGACTCGCCCAGCGATGGCTTCCTCGAGGCGCTGCCCAACGGCCTCGCGCGCGCCGAGGGCGCCATGCACTTGGTGTTCCGCGTGGAGCATTGCTTTGGGCAGCAGCGGAATTCCTGCTCTCGCGCAATCATGGCGATTCAGAAGAAGTCCCTGATCGAGACCCCCTGGGCGCCGACCGCCGTCGATTTCTACCGCGGCAGCCGCGGCGGCGCGGACGTCTGGGACGGAGCGGGGGCAGCTGGGCCAAGGGCGACATGGGGAGATGCCGAGTTCATGGGGGGGGGGGGCCTTTCCAGGCCCGCGCCGAGTACGTTGCGGAGCTTGAACGGATTGCGGTCACGCATCTGGAAGAGATGGCAAGGAATAACCTCAAGGGGATAACGGCGCTCCATGTCACCCAGCGCGGGGCGCGGCGCGGCCGCTTCGGATACCTCGTGAACAGCTCGCTGATCAGGGCCATGGCTGGGGGATTCCACGTCGCGAGTGGCGCTCTTGGCAACGAGGCCGACCGTCGGCTCCTGATGCGCTGGGGCCAGTGCGTGTATCAGCAGCGCCTCGAGCGGCTTGATGTCGTGCAGGAGGTGCACGGGTTGCGCCGCATGCTCACCAACGCCTACGCGAACCTCGGGGGCCCTTCGCTCCAGAAGCTGACCGGCAGACGGACCATCTGTATCCTTTATGTGCTCGTCGTCGCAGGCGCGCTCTGGCAGGGCGTCGCCGCGGCGGGCGCGGCCGTCGAAGACGAGGCGACGGCTCCCGACGACATGGTGGCGGTGGCGGAGCAGAGGGTGAATCGGGCAAGGCTGTTCGCGCCTGGTGCGTTCGCGCCTGCTGCGGCGGGTGAGGGGCGGGCAGCCCGCGCGACCGTGCGTCGCGAGGCGTGGCAGAGGCAGCTGAACATGGACTTGCACAGACGCCCCAACAGAGAGACAATCAAGCTCGCGGGCCGTGTGCGAGGCAAGACCCAGGTCTCCAGCAGGGCGAATTTGCCGTTCAAGCGCGCGAAGAAGGCGACGACCAAGACCAGGAAGGACAGCGCGGCGATCCATTCGGGGGCGTCAGGGGCTAGCGCGACAAGCGCAGGCTCCGGTCCTGGCTGTTGGATGATTAGCTCGTGCTGCGGAGCGCTTGATGCAGGAATGGTTTGGGGATCAAAATGATTGACGTTTTCCCGTTTGAACCGTCCAAACCATTGAACACCTATGGTTTTTTCATGCATTTTCATAGAGCGGCGCCTTTGTCGGCGCTTCCGCGGGCATCGTCGGGCGACCAAGCGATCTTGATATTTGTAAAAACAGCCGGTTTTTCATTGGTTAGTGCGGTTCAAACGGGAAATCTCAGCATGAAAATGATAGTTTCATTGTTCGCGGTGCCCGCGAGTGGGCGCGCTGCGCGCATGTTGCCGCCTCGGCAGGCGTCGCGGCTCAAATGCTCGTATCAAGCGACGGCTGCCATCGCGCGCAGGCTCTGCCTCGCTGGTGCCGGAGTGCCCGGAGATGGAGTTCGCGTCAGCCGACGGCGGAGACGGCGCCGCTGTCCGCGCAGCGGCGTGGCACCTGCTCGGCAAGAAGCAGGCTATGCGCATCGCAGCGGGCGAGGGCGAGATCTGGATCACCCTGGGGGTTCGGTGCCACAAGAAGTTCCGGCGTTTAACGCTGCCCCCCCGCCCGCCCCAGGGGTCGCGACGTGGCTGCCAGTTGACTCCCGCGTGCCGCGCGTGCTCGCGCGGCGCGCCCGCCCGATCGCTGTGGACGTCGAGCTATTTTTCGCGAGCTTCGAGCGAGATGGGGCTTTCTTGGCGATCTGCAGCGCGAACACCGGAGCTGTTCTCATCGACGCCCTCCCGCTCTCGTCGACGGTGGCGATGGCGACGGGGCGTGGTAATCGCCGTCGTTCGAACTTCGAGGTTCGCCAGCTTCCATGCGCGCTCCGCAGTGTCCCGAATTTGGACGTGCGGGCATTCGGGTATTCAAATATCCGTGCGTTCGGGTATGCGGGCACGGGCATTCAGGCACTCGGGCATCCAGGTATTCGGGCATTCGGCAATTCGGGCACTCATTGATTTCGCTTGCGCGCCCCCGCAGGTGAAGCGCGAGATGCGCGAGGAGCTGGCCGCGCCTGAGTGCCAGAGCATCGCGTGGGAGGGGATCAACAGCCGCCAGAACGTGAAGATCTCCACGGTCTCTGGCTACAAGCGCCCGCGCGTGATCACGGGGCGCGTCGGCCCGATCGCCGTGGGCGTCGAGTTGCTCGACGCGGCTGTCGAGCTCGATGCGGTTTTTTTCGATGATCTCCAACGCGAACAACGGAGCTGTTCTCTTTGACTGCGTCGCGGTGAAGCTGTCGTCGACGGTGCAGATGGCGACGGGGGCCCAATGGGGTTGGGCATCGGAATGGGCAGGGCGGGCGGGGTAACGGGCATTGTTCGTTGGCCTCGCTCGCGTACTCCCACAGGTGAAGCGCCAAATTCGCGAGGAGCTGTCGATGTCTGAATGCCAGGGCATCGCGTGGGAGGGGATCAACGACGTGCCCAGCCGCCAGAACGTGAAGATCTCCACGGTCTTCGGCTACAAGCGCCCGCGCGTGCTCCAGTGGGGGCGCACTGGGGCGAGACTACCCCGCTGCTATCAGTCAATCGGTCGCGGACGAATTGTCCCCCCCCCCCCCCCCTTCGCAGCGCAGGACAGGGCGGGGGGCGGGGCGGGGGCGGCGCCGTTGTCTGCCCGCGCCGTGCGACGGCGAGTTAGGGTTTAGGGCTCAAGAGATCCCCGCGCGCGCGGCCCGCTGCCCCGATTCAGGCCCGGCGTGGAAATCGCCAGCATTCGAGCCTCGAGGTCCAGCTGGTTCCAAACCTTGGGGATTTAGGAATTCGGGTGTTCGGGTATTCGGGTATTCAGGTATTCGGGTGTTCGGGTGTTCGGGTATTCGGGTTCCGGGTATTCGGGTATTCGGGTATTCAGGTATTCGAGTATTCGGTATTCGGGTATTTCCGGTACTTCGGGTATTCGGGTATTCGGTCATTCGGAGCGGGGGGGGCGGGTATTCGGGTATTCGGGTACTCAGGTATTTTGTATTCGGGCATTCGGGTATCCGGCTATTCGGGTATTCGGAGCGGGGGGGGGTATTCGGGTCTTCGGGTCTTCGGGTCTTCGGGTACTCGGGTGTTCGGGTGTTCCAGTATTCGGGTATTCGGGAATTCTGGTATTCGGGTATTCGGGCATTCGGGCATTCGGGTATTCGGGTATTCGGGTATTCGGGTATTCGGGTATTCGGGTATTCGATATTCGGGTATTCGGTATTTGGGAATGTCGCCCCCCCGCTCCGAATACCCGAATACCCGAATGCTCGAGTACCCGCCCTTTCACCCCGCTCCGGATGCTCGAATGCCCGAACGCCCGAATACCCAAATACCCGAATACCCAAATACCCGAATACCCGAATACCGGAATACCCGAATACCCGAATACCCGAATACCCGAATACCTCACCAGGCCATCGCCATGTCGCAGATGGTGCCGCCCGAGCCGCCGCGGGCAGAGTGGAGTCGCATCGTGGCGGCTGCAGCCCAAACGACGAATGCGTGCTTGACTGGCCGCCTCGACGAGTTCCTTGGCCGGGGCCCGGCGCGCGAACGCCCCGGAGACCAGCCTCTTGTATGTATATCACAAAGAGCTGCCCGACCACCACAATTTGTCGCAGTTGTTGCAGGCGCAGCTCGCGTACTTGTTGTTCCATGGGGATCAGTGCCCGGTCATGTACTGCGGCCGCGATGACGACTGGTGGGTGTGGGATCAGACTTGGCGCGTTGTCGAGCGATCTTTGACGAGGGTCTAGGCGGTCTTCCAGGCGAGGTTCCTGCCCGTGCTCCAGGAGGTTGCCGGGCGCTGTCGCGCAGAGAAATGTTTCGGGGAGGGCGAGGACGGCGCCCCCCGCCCCAAGCAGCAGTTTCTGGACAAGACGGCGGCGGCGCTGGAGTGCCAGCAGGGCGCGGAGAAGATCGCCCGAGAATCTGCCATGCTGTTCCAGGGGGGGCCGCGTTTGACCTGGACCCGTTCCTCTTTCAGCTCAGCAGTTGCGCGGTGGATTTCCGTTCGAACGCCATCCGTCCACGCCGCCCGACAGACGCGACTTCCCTGCGCAGCCCGATTTGCGCTCCCCAGAGGCGGGCGGCCGTGAATCGGAGGGGCGGGCGATGCGCAGATGAGTTTGGGGTGAACAAACGCAGTGTTTTCCCCATTTGAACCGCCCAGATCATTGAAAAAAAAACATAGGTTTCCACGTTCTCCATAAACTTGCGCCTTTGTCGGCTCGCCCGCGGACGTCGTCGGCGCGACCGCGCGATTGAGAAGTGTGTGAAGCGCTTGGGTGTTCCGCTGGTTCGGGCGATTCAAATGGGGAATCGCCGCGTTAAACCCAGCAGGCGAACGCATTTCAGGGCGCTGAGACAGGGTAGCCATGTTCGTCGACAGGTGGCTGCAGAACTCAGACCTCGTGGAATCCGCGTCGGCCAACGATCGCCAGAGGTCATGGTCTATCTTGTGGTCGCTTTACAAGCGCGAGGGCGACCGCCGCCCCGGCGACTGCGCCGAGGATCTCGGGGGCTCGGGCGCTGATAATTTCCAGCGTATGATGTATCTGCAGGCGCGGCTTCTCGAAGGCAGGCCGCTCTGCAAGTGCGTGCTGCTGTGGTCTAGGCGGGGCCGCAATGGCAGGGGCATCTGCGGGGGGGTCTTCCAGGCTGTCTGGGGAGAGCACCGCGATCCTGTCCGAGCCGCAGTCTTCACTGCGGACGAGCGTTCCGAACGCGAACACAACGCGGCGGATGCTTTTCGTCGCGGAGTCCGCGTAGCTTTTGGCAACGAGGTGCATTCCTCGGCTTTGAGCAACGCTGTCTTCAAGAACAGGAACTCGACCGACCCCGGTGCCGTCCGCGCGTGCAACTCGGGCGATACCGAGAAGATGAAGCCCATGTGCACTTGCATTTCCGCATGCAACGTCATCCCGTCATGGGGGCAGGTTCCTAAGGGCTCGGAGCGCGACCGCTTGCTGCCGATGTGCATGCCGAGCAAGTTTCGCGACACCTTCGACGCCCCCACGCCCCCGCGTTCCTGCCTCACGGACCGCGGGCTCGAGGCGGAGATTGGCGGCCCGAGTTCGCGATCGGCCACTTGTTCAACCTCCTCGCCGTCAGGTCATCGGCGTCTTCGAGCGGGGGGCTCTCGCTGCGCGAACTGGCGGCGACCGGGGCGATGGCCGCGGCGCTTTGCTCGAGGCGTGGATGGCCGAGTGGGGCAGGGTGGGCGGCGACGTCGCTCGCGAGGGCGAGGTGGGCGTGGAGTCATTCGCACTCGTCCAGGACATCCACGCTCGCCTCTACTCGTCCAGGCCCCGCGCCCAGGTGGAGCAGACTAGGTGCGAACTGCCACTGGCCGCCCCGGAGACGGAGCGGTGGGCTACCCTCCTGGGCCACGTCCGCGCGTCAGGTCGCCTCGGTGCCAATCTCTTCCAGATCGGGGCCGCGAAGTCACGCGAGCAGAGAATGCAGGCATGCGTGGCCGTTCCCTCCTTCGACGCGTCGCTGTGCGACCAGCTGTTCGCGGACGCTGCCGCTTTCGGCGACCCCGCGGGGCAGGCGTGCAACGTCTCCCTCGACGCTTGCGTCCCCGCCGAGGACGCGCTCGCCAGGCCCGCCGAAGCCGAAGTGCCGAGCCGGCGCTGCCGCTGCACTGTCTGGAGGCAGCCAACTTGACCGCGCTGCGGGCCCGGCGCGACGCGGGGGCTGCCGTCGCGGGCGAGCGTCGCCAGGAGGGGCTGTCTGCGCGCGTGGATCTGCTGGGCCAAGCGGGCAAGGCCTGCGCTATGAAGGGCGGCTTCCTCCGCCCGACCTCCGTGCCAGAGTGCCCAGACATCCGCGCCCTTTGCCGCGAGTACTACCAGCTCAACATGATCGGCCGCGCGTGCGAGTCAGGCCCAGGGCTTCAGTCCTGCGCCGCGGGGACGCGAGTCGTCGCGTTCAACGGCCTGGCGGTGGGCGAGTTCGACGTGATCGCGGCGTTCTATCAGATATTCCTGGGGGCGCTGCGCCCGCGCGCTCCGGATGGCGCCGTTGAGCGCGACTTCGGGGTCGTCAAGATGCGCGCGGACAAGTCCAAGCAGTGGCGCGCCGCTGTGGCTCAGTAAAATGACATCGACGTGTCCGAGGCCGCAGAGATCTTCTCGCGGCTGACGTTCGAGGGCGGCATTCAGCCCGATGCGTCCTGGGAGAGCGATCGCCCCGACGACATTCTGCCGTGCCGGATGGAGTTGAGGGGCGCTTTCAGGCGCGGCCAGGAGATCCTGGCGGCTCAGTGCGACGAGCTCAAGAAGGCGAGGTTCTGGAATTCGACCTCGCCGCTGGCCTGCCCGACCGCGCGCGGCTTCGGGGTTCGCCGCTGTCCAGCGGAGAGCCCAGCCGCGGCGGCGAGGGCCGTCAGTGGCGCGGGGACTTCCAGGAACCGCGAGGTTGCATCCATGGAGAAGGTGTTGCTGAAGGCGCATCCAGGGCCCTCGGCACTGGCGCTGTGCCTGCAGACGATGGAAGACAACATCCTGGAGAGCATGGCCGATGCTGCCAAGGGGCTGAACGCGTGCGTCTTGAGTCTGGTGTTCGACGGCATGTACGTGGCCATGCCTTCCACGTCCGACATCGAGGGAGTGTTCGACACGGTGGCCGACGAAGTCTGGAAGACACGCGGCGTCCGCATTGTCTTGGAAACAGTAGGCGGCGAGACGATCAAGGCATTCTCGGCGAAACGCAACCGCCCGAGCGATGAGGGCGAGGCTGAGGCAGCCCAGAAGAGGATGAAGGTGTGCCACGTGGCCCAGGAGATGGAAAAGTTGCTGGATATCGATTCGGATGCAGCGGCCAGCGGCGCGCCCGAGGTCGGCGGGCTGCCTTGCACGCAGGAGGAGCAGCGCGGTCGCGAACCGTGCGGCGGGCTGATCGGCGCAGCGGCGGCCAGCGGGGCGACCGAGGGCGGCGGGCAGCTAGTCGCACGGGAGGAGCAACGCGACATCGAGCCTGACACGCAGGGGCCGTCGATGGAAGGCCGTTGGAATGAGGGCGACGCGGCCGTCCCCTGTGCGGCCCACGGCGGCGCATGATCTGGTTGAACGGCCCAGGCGCGATGAGGGGCTTGTTGCCTGGTCGTCGAGGTCGCGGCCATGGGGCAAGCTGCCGCTTTGGGGTTATATTCCTTGCGTGCGCCCGCAGGGCTTGCGCGGTGCGCTCGTGGGCAGGACTTGCTCGGGATTGTTTGTGCAGTCGCTGCAGTGCTAGCCGTGCAGCTCGCGGCGGCATTACCACCTACTTGCTAGCTTCTTGACTTGGCCTGCAAGTGCGCGCGACGCGTTGGGGGGCAGGGCTCGCTCGAGATGCTTCGCTTCGTTTGCAGGCTCGATAGCAAGAAATCTCCGCCCCGCCCCCGCCATCTTGCCCTGCCGCTTGCAAGTCGCCTTGGGGCGTTTGCCGGAGTTTTCTTTCAGTTCTTCCCGTTGAGCCGCCTGAGCCACTGCACAACCATAGGTTTTACCATGTATTTAATGTTCGGGTGCCGTTGGCGGCGCTTTCGCGAGTGCCGACAGAGCGTCGGAGTCAAGCGACAATTCGTGAAAGGTTGGGTCATTACACAAAGTCAGGCGGTTCAAACAGGAAGCATCTACAGGAGAGACGACACCCGATAGTGACGGTTGGGGCGATTGGGGCGATGCCGCCACCATGTCTGGCACGCGTTGCTAGGCCCATCGGCACAAGGAACGCCATCGCTGGCATTCGGGCAGGATCCACCCCCCAGCATTCGGGCAGGATCCACCCCCCAGCTGCAAACCAACAGCATCGTAACATATAAGTTTGTTTGCGGGGGGGGGTCCCCGACGACGGATCGGGAAAGGGGGGGAGGGGGGTCCCCGACGACGGATCGGGGAAAGGGGGGGGGTCCCCCCCTCCCTTGGGGCCATCCAGCGGCGCGCCCTCGATCAAAACTACGACGATGACGATGATGCTTGTGATGATGATGGCGGTTGTGGTGATGATGATGTTGATAGCGACGACGATAGTGATGATGATGCTGATGGTGGTGATGATGCGGATGATGATTTTGCTGAGGATGCTGTTGAGACTGAATATGATGATTCTGAGACGGCTGACGATGACGATTCTGATTATGATGTTGATTTTGGTGATGATGATGACGGCAACGATGTTTATGATGATGCTGATGATGTTGATGCTAGTGATTGTGGTGGTGATGCTGGTGATTATGGTGATTATGATGATTATGATCATGTTGCTGAGTATGATGAGGCTGTTGATGATGATGCTGATGCTGCTGTTGTTGTTGTTGATGATAATGATGATGATGATGATCATGATCATGATGATGATGATGATGATGATGATGATGATGATGATGATGATGATGACGCTGGCGCTGCGGCTGCTGCTGCTGATGATTTTGCTGCTTGTAGTGGCTGTGATGATGGGGATGGTTTGGATGAGGAAGAGGACGGGTAGGAGGATGAAGAGGGTGAGGATAACGAGGCAGGAGAAGGAGATGCAGGAGGAGGAGGAGGTGGTGGAGGAGGAGGTGGATGGGGGAGCAGGAGGAGGATCGGAGGAGGAACAGGCACCGACATCGCTACCCTTGCTTCGTCTTTTCGTGTCCTTGGGCCTGCTGGGAGCTCGCATCGCTACCGCCGGACTCGCCTCGACGTTATGGTCAACACGCACCCCAAGAGCCCCCGGGCAATAGCGGTACCGGTACATGTTCGTTTCCTCGGGGAGGAGGAGGAGGAACACGGAATTCGGAATTCGGGGATCCCCGAAAGACCGTCACTCAGGACGGCACTGCCAGGGTTCTGCAAGACACAGGTGATCCTGCAGACCAAAGAGGAGGAGGAGGAGGAGGAGGAGGAGGAGGAGGAGGAGGAGGAGGAGGAGGAGGAGGAGGAGCAGGGAGGAGTAGGAGGAGGAGGAAAAGGAAAAGGAGGAGGAGGGAGGAGGAGGAGGAGGAGGAGGAGGAGAGGAGGGGGAAGAGGTCGGAAGAGGGAGGCAGGGAAGAAATCACGGGGAGGGAAGGGAAGGGACATGCAGGGAGCGAAAAGACAGGCGATAGGATGTGATGGGGAAGGGAGGGGAGGGGGAACGTTGGTGAGAGGAGGGAGGGGGAAGCAGGAAGGGGAGATCAGGGCGACGAGGGAGAGCACGCGTGAGAGGCATGGCAGTATGGGGAGGGAGGGAGGGGCAGGTGGACAAAACAGGAGGGAAGGGGATGGGGAGCGAGTAGGAGTCAGGAGGCAGGAGTCGAGCGACGACCCCCGCCCAGCCGACGCGGACCACAAGGCCTATTGCGACAAGGACAGCGCGGCGCGGCGGCTACAGGCAAGACCTCGGCGGCGAGCGAGGGGGGGAAATGAAAAGGAAAAGGCCTTCTCAGAAGGCTCGGAAGTTCCCCGGCCTTCTGAGGAGTGATCTAAGCCTTTCCCGAAGACGCAGGAAACTTCTCAGAAGGCGCGAGGGCTTCTGAGAAGTCCCGCCGCCTTCTGAGAAGGCCTTCTCCTTCTCACTTCCCCCCCTCGCTCGCCGCCAAAAGACGCCGAAAGAAGGGCCACCTAGGGCTCAAGAGGGGCTCTGATTCGAAGGCCGCTTCCTAGATTGCGGTCGGGAAGCCTACTCGTGGCTTAGGCTCGCCGTGGCCAGACGAGCCACTTCGTTCCTCAGTCGGCGCTCCTTCTGGTGGCACGATCACTGCACCCCCCTTCCCTCACTCCCTCCCCTCTGCCGTCTCCCCCTTGATCGTTCCCCGTCCCTCCCGCGTCGCCAGCTCTCTGCTCCCTCTTGCGGTTCTTGCACAGGTGATGCCCAACGAGGTGCAGCACGCTCTCCCAACCTGCCCCTCGTTGTGTTGACCCGATCGGGAGGTGGTTGGTCATGCTTATCGCCAACATGCACTGGCAAGCATCATCATCACCATCAGCACACATCATCGTCAGCATCACCACCACCACTTCCACAATAATGATCATCATCATCGCCATCATCATCACCACCATCACCATGATCATCGTCACCTTCATCGTCATCATTATCATCGACAGCAGCATACCATCAGCATCACCATCACTATCATCAACAACAGTATCATCGTCATCGGCACTACCATCGTCTTCATCATCATCATCGTCATCGTCATCATCCACGATCAGAGTTACCATTCACCGTTCACCATCATCATCCATCAGTCTTCATTCATCATCATCATTATCATCAGCTTGTTCAGCATCATCATCATCACCATCATTATCATCATAGTCGTAAACATCATCCATCACCATCCATCATCACCAGCCTCATCATCACCATCATCACCAGCAACTTCAACATCATCATCACCACCACCATCATCATCATCATCATCATCATCGTCATCGCCATCGTCATCGTCATCGTCATCGTCACCATCATCATCATCATCATCATCATCATCAACAACATCGCCACCACCATGATGATCATCATCATCATCATCATCATCATCATTATCATCATCCTCATCATCATCCTCATGATCATCACTGATGTAACAACCATCGCGAACGCCGACGTCAAGGTCATCACCACCACCACCACCATCACCGCACCAGCGCTGTCATCATCATGTCTGTCATCGTCTCCAGCACCACCACGCTCCTCGTCGCTGTCGTCGCCGCCACCGCATATCACCAGCACTGCCGCCATCGCCATCACCAACGGCAGAACCATCACCGCACAGCTTTGCCACCGCCCTCAGCCGCTCTTCGCCCAGGCGGCCAGCGCGGCGCCGCGCTGGCCCCCCGGGCTTTCCTGCCCCCGCGCCGTGCCCAGGCGGCCAGCGCGGCCAGCTGCGCTGGCCCCCCCGGGCTTCCTGCCCCGGCCCCCGCGCCGGCGCCGCCGCCGCGCCGCTGCCTGGAAGGGCCACGGCGGAGCTCTCGCGTGGAGGTCGGCGGCGGGGCCGACCATGGAGGATCGGGGCAGCCAAAGCCGCAGGGACGCGGCTGGTGATCGTTTTCTCATTCATTGTTTTGCCGATCGGCGAGGGCCCCCTCCTGCGAAGTGTCCTGATCCTTCTGCGAAGTGTCCTGATCCTCCCACTCCCTCTCCTCCTCTCCCCTCTTCCTGCCCGTTTCTCTCCTGCGCCCCCTGGACCTCTCCTGGAGCACGTTCTGTCCGGGAGTCCCAGGCGAGCCCCGCCGTGGCGACGAGGACGCCCCTCGGGACGCCACAAAGGTGAGAAATCAAACAAAACGACCGCGTCGGCGAGGGCCCCCCTTCCCCCCTGAGTAGATCTTGGCTATTTTGGGTGGCGCCTGTTGCAGGCAGGTGGAGACTCCCCCAGAAAGACGCGCCGTTGCAGGCAGTCGCACTCGGCAGAGGTCCAGAGCCAGACCCCCCTCTCCTCCCCCTCCCCTTCGCCCGATGTCGAAACGCCGAACAAGAAAACGCTCATATGCCTGGAGGCTGGCGCCAGCACCAACGTCGGCGCTGGCCTCCGTCGAGGGAAGACGATCCCTGTCTCGGTGCTTTTGGCAACATTCGGGATTCGGTGATGGCAGAGATTCGGAAGATGATCCCAGTCTCGGTGATGGTGGTAGTTATCTTCGGGAGTCGGTGATGGTGGTACCATTCGGGATTCGGTACTATTCGGAAGATGATCCCAGTCTCGGTGGTGGCAGAGATTTGACCACCAACGATAGAATGATGTAGGATCATTTTTCCTCAGTGGAGTCAGCCCTCTGTGTTGGTGTTGGTGCCCATCCCCAAGCCTCCATGGGATGCAACCATCGTTTTGGGGGTAAGGCCCGCCTCGTTTTCGAAGGTGACTCGACGCTACTTCCGGCGGCTTCCTCTGGCACTCTTCGTGCGCCTGGGCGCCCCTGAGGCCCAGACGGGGCATCGTGTGGCCGGCCTCTCGGGGGGGGGGGCAAAGTTTCGAGGTTCAAGGTCTTCCGCTGATCTCATCGGTCCTCGCCGGTAGCAACTCATGGGAGCCGTGTATGTCCTCAGCACGCCGTCTCTAGGGTGCATTCGCGTGCGCTAGCGTCTGGTAATCGATGGCCAACCCGAGTCCCCCAAACACGAGTCTTATTCTATCCCGCTTCGTTCTTTGTCCAAGGCTCTTCACTCAAGCAGTGGCGAAGCGTCCCGGCGTGCCTATAGCCTTCTAAGAACCTTTTGTGGTTTCCACGAAATGTTCTCATATCATTATTGGTTGATACTGTCTTGTTTTAACACCTCGGGTTTATGTTCTAAGAGCAGTGCTTTTGTTCTTAGAATATGTTTGGGTTCTAAGAACATTTCGTTGTAGGACTATAGGATCGGGCCCGACGAAAGAGGGGGATGGGGAAAGGGGGAGTTACCAAATCTGCTGCATGCAGCTGGTTTCGGCCCCACCGAGGGGCCCATTCCTCGATAGATGGCCGCCTCCGGTGCCGGGAGGCGCCGGGAAAATCAGCTACGTGAGCTGATTCTCACCCCCCCCCTCTGCTATCCCCCCCTTTCGCCCAGCCCGATAGGAATGCCAGGACGGTCTGTCCCCGCTCAAGATTCATGGCAGTTCTTCGGCCGTACCGTGCCGGCGTGGACTTCTGGCAGCGGCGGCGGGCGGCGCAGAGCGTCCTATAGGGGCGGCTGGCCTGAGTCCCTGGGCGCGTGCGAACTTCAGAACTCTCCTCGCCCTCGTCGTCGTCGTCGTCGTCCTCGTCCTCCTCCTCCTCCTCCTCCCTCTGTCCCGCGACGGCGGCATGGTTTTCGGCCAAGTTCGTTCGCCTGACAGCGCCTCGCCGCTGCAGGCTCGTTTTCGCAACTCGGCCAGGGTCAGGGACATTCGTCCGCAAGTCCTTGTTGCATTTCAGGACCACGATGCGAATCAAAGGCCAACAACAAATTACCCCAGTGCGACCCTACCTAGGAGTTGGAGCCCCTAGGAAAGCAGCATTGGTAGTAACGGTAAACGCCGTCCTCCTCCTTCTCCTCATCGTCGTAGTTGCCTTTGCTTTTTCTTGTTTTTGCTGTTGCTTGGTATTGCTTTTGCTTTGCCTTCGCACACACACGCATGCTTTTGCATTCGCTCACCGGGTGGGCTCTCTGATCGTACTGTTGCACATTGCTTTTGCTTTGCCTTTCCTTTGCTTTGCTTTTGCTTTTGCTTTTGCTTTGCATTGCGTTGCTAGTGCTTTGCTTTGCTGTTGCTGTTGCTGTAGCTTAGTTCAGCAAGGCTAAGCTAAGCTAAGCCTTTTGCTTTTGCTTTGCTTTTGCTTGGTTTTGCATTTGCTTTTGTAGTGACCTTGGCCTCTACGTGCTCGTCGTGGGACGCTTGGTAGGGACTTCGGCCACTAGTGCATGTCGTTGGACGCTTGGTAGGGACCTCGGCCACTACGTGCAAGTCGTGGGACGTCTTGTAGGGACCTCGGCCTCTAGTGCTGGTCGTGGGACGCTTTGTAGTGACCTCGGCCTCTACGCGCTTGTCGTGGGACGCTTGGTACGGACCTCGGCCACTAGTGCATGTCGTTGGACGCTTGGTAGGGACCTCGGCCACTACATGCAAGTCGTGGGACGTCTTGTAGTGACCTCGGCCTCTAGTGCTGGTCGTGGGACGCTTTGTAGTGACCTCGGACTCTGCGTGCTCGTCGTGGGACGCTTGGTAGGGACCTCGGCCACTAGTGCATGTCGTTGGACGCTTGGTAGGGACCTCGGCCACTACGTGCAAGTCGTAGGACGTTTTGTAGGGACCTCGGCCTCCAGTGCTGACGCTTTGTAGTGATCTCGGCCTCTACGCGCTGGTCGAGGGTGTGATGTTAGTCGAGTGCAGTGCTGGTGGGGCTTGAGTGTCGGTGCTAGCGTCTCAACAGGCCGCGGGAGGAAGTTCAGGGAAAAGAACGTCGCTGGTGGGGCGTTAGTGGGGAGTTGTGTCCCCTCGCCGCTGCTGTTGCCGTTGCTTTGAGCTTGTGCTTTGCATTGCCTTTGCTTTTGCTTTTGCCTCGGCCTTCGAGCTCGACGGGGCGCCCTCGACGGGGGCTCGCCGGGGCGTCCTCGACCTGGACCTCGTCCTGCGGGGGCCCGGCGCCCGTGCGGGCCCGGCGGGGGCTCGGCGGGGGCCCGGCGCCCGTTCATTCGCACGCTCGCACGCCTCCAGGAACCGCTGTATTGCGTCTGCAGGCTGTGCAGCACTGCAGATTGGGTGTTGGATGGCGGAGAGCAACACGTGTTTGTTGCCGATGATCTGGAACACGTACGCGGAGAAAGCGCTTCGTCGGAGCTGGTGCGCTTTCTTCGTATCGCCTTGGCACCTCCCGTTGTGCAGTCGCTCGTACTCCTGGACCGTTTCCGTGTTCATCCACGACCCATAGTCGTTCATCCACTCTTTGTGGATCTCTTGCATGTGGGAACTCGTGAAGATCGCGTCGGAAGCCGGGCCTGGCGTGCGGCGCAGTTGATTCGCACGCTGCTCTTCGACGACCCGCAAGAACTCCTCCAGCTTGTCGGTGATGTGCGGAGCAGCTGCCGCCTCGCAGCACCCGTCCGACGAGGCTACGATGTCCGCCGCTGCTTGCTTCCGACGGAAGGCACTGCTTGCGGGGGCTCCGGTCCGGCCATCGAGGCTAGCTCGGCATCTGTCGCACATTGTTTTTGCTTTGCCTTTCCTTTGCTTTGCTTTTGCTTTGCTTTGGGTTGCGTTGCTTGTGCTTTGCTTTGCTGTTGCTGCTGCCGCTTTGCCTTTGCTTTGCTGCTGTGCTGTGCTATGTTATGCTATGCTGCACTATGCTGTGATATGCTCTGCTATGCTATGCTATGCTATGCTAGACTATGCTATGCTATGCTATGCTATGCTATGTTGCGATATTCTATGCTGCGCTATGCTATGCTATGTTACGCTAGACTGCGCTATGCTATGCTAGGCGATGGTATGCTATGCTATGCTATGCTGCGCTATGCTATGCCATGCTGGGCTATGCTATGATATGCTAAGCTCAACAACATTTGGTTGCGTCGGCTTACGCTCGACATTTTGTGTGTTTGGTTTTGTTTGCGTTTTCGGCATATTGTGCTCGTTTTCGAACCCTGGGGCCGTCAAGCTTGAGTGTGGGACAGTAGCTACCCCTCAGGAAAGGGTCGGGGCCCGTGGGGCCTGGGATTCAAGAACATCACATCGGCGGATGTTTGGATGAAGGCCCCTGGTAGGGCTGCCGTGCTGCCAGAGGTGATGGCCTGGGTGATGGAGTTCCCCCCAAATTCTGACTGTAGTGAGATTTGTCCATGTGGGGGTTGGGAATAAGGTAATTCGGATTCGGATTCGCTGGGGGCATTCACACTTCAAGAGAAATCGCAACTCGATCTGCTGTTTGGCCAATCTTCGACCCCCCTGCGCCCGCCATCGCTGATGACGGCCACATCCCTGTCTTGGGCCTTCGCTGCGAAGAGGGAAAAGGAGGAGGATGCGGAGGAGGAGGATGAGGAAGAGGAGGCGGAGGAGGAGGAATGAGTAGTATAAGAAGGAGTAGGAGTAGGAGTAGGAGTAGGAGTAGGAGTAGGAGTAGGAATAGGAATAGGAATAGGAGTAGGAGTGGGAGGGGATTAGGAGTAGTTGTAGTAGTAGTAGTAGTAGTAGTAGTAGTAGTAGTAGTAGTAGTAGTAGTAGTAGTAGTAGTAGTAGTAGTAGTAGTAGTAGTAGTAGTAGTAGTAGTAGTAGTAGTAGTAGTAGTAGTAGTAGTAGTAGTAGTAGTAGTAGTAGTAGTAGTAGTAGTAGTAGTAGTAGTAGTAGTAGTAGTAGTAGTAGTAGTAGTAGTAGTAGTAGTAGTAGTAGTAGTAGTAGTAGTAGTAGTAGTAGTAGTAGTAGTAGTAGTAGTAGTAGTAGTAGTAGTAGTAGTAGTAGTAGTAGTAGTAGTAGTAGTAGTAGTAGTAGTAGTAGTAGTAGTAGTAGTAGTAGTAGTAGTAGTAGTAGTAGTAGTAGTAGTAATAGTAGTAGTA